AAAAAAAAAAAAAAAAAAAAAAAGAAAGAAAAATAGGACATAGACGAGAATCGAGAATCGTGGTAACGTGGTAAAATATGGTTCCTCAGCAGATGGGAATGGTGGTGGAGGAGGGCGGCCCCTGTTTCCACAGTGGTCTCACCACGTGTACCCACAGTTCCTCCCGGGATCTCACCCTAACGCCAATGCGAATGCCAATGCCAATGCCAACCACCACATGAACCAGCACCACCACCAGCACCCGCTACCGGCTGCCAGGCACTCTAATCGCCAGCCCCCCTCCAACTATTATCTCCCGAATCACCACAGTAATCATTACAACCATCATCCGAATAACCATAACTACCATCGTCATCATCATTACCATCATCACAATAACAACAATCATCATCATACGCTTCAAAAACATATCGATCAGCCCCGAAATCTCTGTCATAGAAACTCCGGTGTTGGTCTGCAAGGTAACTCGATTGCCCGAACGGAATTGTGTACCACGGAATGCTCGAGTTTGGTTTTTTCGTTTTATTATCGCCTGCTCGAATATCTTTTTTACATTTTGCCCGATTTGATTATGAATTATCGACACATTCTTTTTCTTTTCGTCAATTCCTTCCCACGATTATATTCTTCTCGATTATTGTGATTTCCAGTCGATTGTGCTCTCTTTCTCTCTCTCTCTCTCTCTCTCTCTCTCTCTCTCTCTCTCTCTCTCTCTCTCTTCTGTTTTTATTCGATATTTATTCACGTGTCGATATTTCTGTCTGCATGTTTTGCCGTTTCACATGTTTTGCCAATTTGACCCAACCTCAGGTTTGACGTACACATTGACATACACGTGCACGCATATACACGCGCATAAGCGTTCTCACATTTGTTGATCGTATAAAAACGATGTTTTGATTTGAATCTTATGATATGGATTTTTCGTTTTTCTTTTTTTTCCTTCTTCTTCTTTTTTTTCTTTTTTTTTTTTGCTATACCTTTGTTGTTGATTATTTCGCGGAAGGAAAGTGAAAAAATGAAGAAATATTCGATTTCCAATAATTTCGTTTGCATAAGATACGTTGATCGTTATATATTGAATTATATCAATGTTGAAAGCTTGGAGCACAAGCAGTGAATGAAACTTGCACCATTTGCATACGACTTGAGTAAACGAAAAGTTTGCATGTCGATTACGGATCGCAAGTTCACGTGATGATGTTGATTCTGATGAACACTGAATGCAAAAGTACTCTCTTTAGATGAATAAAAGTTAATCTATCAATGAACGATATTATTGTTTAAATTTATTCTTTGACAGTTGCACGTTAGCTGTAAACTTGACAATATTATAACGTACAATCTGTTATTTTATCGAGATTATTAAAACAAATTTTAAAAAACAAATTTGCAAATTGCAAATTTTTACTGTTATGAAAAGAATCTCTCTAGATAGCCTGGAAATTTTCGCTGCTGTTGAAATACTTGCAATAATTTTCTTACGTTTATTACAATTATCAAAAACAAAATTATTTTATTCATCTTGAAGAAGAAGGAAATTCAAAAATCGAATTGATGAAACGCGTTGAATACAATAAAATGAGTACAATTTTATTATTTAGAAAGAGAAAATATAAAAATTAAAAAAACATCCGATATTTTCAACTTACTCTTTCATATGGATTCATCCTTCTTCTTCAAATATTTGAATGCTTCGATTAAAATTCCCGAATTGACGCTTCGATTTTTTCTTTTTTTTTTTTTTTCCTTTCTGTTTTCGAGTTCCTGCACTATAATGCATCTCCTCTCCTCTGCAATGCGATCGACGTTCGAAGGCCGAATTTTCAAAAACATTAACTCCAACGGATCCTAAATCAATGATTGAAGGAACAATGTGAACCATTAACGATTAACAAAATATCGTCGATCGCATGATCGTTCATGTCAGCCTGCTTTGCAAGACGAAATTAATATATTCCAACCTGCACGTTTCAAACACCGATCATCACAATAAAATAATATGTTCTCAGGGAGCGGAGGTATTATGAGCCAAGCCGGTTCACAAGACGACGGTGAATACGAGGTGATAATCGTCGACGAGAACAACTCGTCGATCCTGGCGGATCACGACGTTACGTCGTCTGGACCTCCATCGACCAAGGTAAGTAAACATCCCCCCATTCCCTCCATCCAATTTATTATACTTACTGTTACTTACAAAACACGTGAAACGTACCTTGTTCGTGAGAAAGATGCGTACATCGAGATTAATTGATCCGTTGTTCTCAGGTAAAAAGAAAGAAAAAAAAAAAAAAGAAAGAAAGAAAGAAAAAAAAGTAAACAAAATCTCTCCTCGACGATGAGCGAAAGTAAACGAAGCTAGGAAAAATTTAAATGTATTCGTTATCACTCGTCGGTATATCATATTTTATTTATCAAATATTATTTCGTTGAGAAGATTTGTGACAACCTTACTTGAGATTGCATGCTTTTGATGAGGTACAGTCGTGTTATCTTCGTTGTGTGCCCATTCAACTCAATTTAATTTGATCAAATGATGTAATGATCGTTTTCTAAATCATGATCTTGATATATATATATATTGTGTTATATATATTTAGTACTTAACGATATTTTGATATTTGAATAGAGAAACGTTTACTATATTGCACCTTTCTTATCACGCACGATCTACCGTTAACGTGGAATTGGCACTCTACGCCCACGCGATGCGCTTTGCATTCGTTTATTCGACTATTTCCCGATTCTTCTAATCGTAGAATTCTTGTGAACTTCTTAAATTCTGCGTATCTCTGTTTCAATCTGTAACCTCGATGAACGAATAAACTGCATGCATAAACTGAGTGTTTAATAGTGTGATAACAAATCAGTAGATCTTTAAAATTCGTAAATTCAATGGTAAAAAGGAGAGGAGAAACGTGTTTGAAAAAATTATTCGATATCGAAATTTCCGTTCCAATTCGTTTTTTTTCTTAGAAGTAGTCTTGAGAAGTTCAGAGAGAAACCGTCACAAGTGAAAAAAAATATTTGATTTGACAGAAAAATATAATTCGTCAATGCAAAAAAAAAAGAAAAAAGAAAGAAATTAAAGATCGAGGAGGATAACTTTAACTAATGACAAATTTGAGTTTAATTTTGAGACGAATTTTATAAAAAAATTCACTTGTACCGTTCCTCTCGATTGTACCCTTGTAGTTACCATATTAGTCAATCTAATTATCTAATTTGAAAGTGTAACAGTTAAATCTGTATCCAGCACGTAGTGTTCACTTTTACAATTAGCCAGATACTTCTTGTTCTTTTGCACTCACGTAGTCAAAAAATAATAGTGTCGATTAATTACACACACATACAAATTTTGTTCTGGCACGTAAAAATTCGCATAAAGTTTCGAATAATTGCGACGAAACTACTCGAAGTAACTCGCCCTTAAAGCTCGATTCGAATGGGTACCATATAAATCATCCCATACGATGATTTCTATCCATTTCGTATCTCTAATTCTTTCGAGCATGCGATACTTCTTCTGTTTTTTTTTTTTTTTTTTTTTTTTTTATTTTACTCTTTAATTTTTCTCAACGTTAACTTCCTCTGCTTGCATTGCTATGCGTACTAACTACTGGTTCTGAAGGGAGGTCACAGTGGCGTACCTCGGCCACGGACAATTCTCGAGGATTACACCTCGTCAGAACCAACGCTTGGCTCTTCGACAAGATCCACTGAACCACTGCCACGAAATGTCCAGGTAAAAGTTTGACTTTGAGTACAGGACTCGGAACAGAGAATGACTTTAAAAGCGGAAAGAAATTTTGACAAATTGACAGAGAAATAATCTAAACGATCGCCTCGACGTTCTCCAACGTTTTGGTTACGATAAATTGAATATAATATATCATATCCGTACACTTGTCCATCGATTTACACGAGATTTATTTTCTCTTATAAGATTTTGTTCCTTTTTTAATTGTGTAAATGGAGTTTAGAGAAAGATAACGAAGAGAAAAGTGGATGTATTTCATATAAATATTTTTATTTCCACAAAAAGTAAAATAAATGTTTAAAAAAGCAAAATATCAAAAATTTGAATTTCTGTATGTAGAAAAACATTCGTTCATAATTTAAAAAAAAAGAAAAGAATTTTCACAAATTTGATATGTATAATCATCCGTAATAAATTTCTGATCGTGTAAATCAAGGGACGAGCGAAACATAAAAATTTGTTTTCATCTGTCTAAAGCAAGAAGAGACGCAACGACGAACGAATGCCCACTCGACGGGTACGCAATAAAGATAGAAGATAGTAAGGGAAATAAAATCGATTTGTTTCTGTATCGTGGCTTATCCACGATAATAATAACAATCTATCTCGTATGTAGCTACTTTTGTCGTTACGATTATATGGACGTAATCGAGCATAGTTATGATATTACGTTCACTGTGTGGTTAGCTTGAAAATTTCTAGGAGGCTTTTAATTTTCTTGTTTACACGTTATATTTAGATGACTGATGCGTATTAGTGTTGTTACTATTAACTGCATGTCGTCTAATAAATGCATAGCACGCGAGACTTAATCGCAGAATATACCGTTTGATTCTCTTCTTCAAGTAAACGTTCTTAAGATTGTTACATATATATATATATTATACATAGATATTTACAATGTCATTAAATAGTATGTTCTACGGAAGCTAGGCTTTCGTTATAGAGATATACAGTATTCAGTATAACAGTAGAGAAGTAGACGTAGTGTTGTTTAAAAATTGAAAGTAATGTTGTTAAATACATTTTTTTTTTCATTACGATGTATTACAGAGACATTTTATTCAACAAATATCGAAATACATAGATATGTAAAAAGAATATTCTTAAAATTCGATATACATATACATATACATATGATCGTACTGAATCGAAACAATTTTTTGTTTTTCTATTTTTTTCAATTCATTATTATTACTATGTAATAAGTTTAATTATTTCTTTTTTCTTTTCTTTTGGAAAATTTCTGGAAACGATTTGTGAACGCGACCACAGATGTGTTAATTTCATCCCTTTTAGAGTAACGACTCGAGCGAAGAAACGATGCATCGTAGCAATATTACCGCGGATGTCAGCCCTTCCGAGGTTGCAACGGATAACGAGAATAAACACAATTCCTCCGAGGAAGCATGGACCGACGTAAATCTGAACGAAGACGGAGACACTATCCCGATCACGAATCAAAGGGAAGACCCGCGAAACATTCACAACATGGCGCACTCTCGCGGTAAGATCCAGAATTTCCATTTGTATTCTTTCTTATATATCTTCCCTATATTATTATATATCTTCCCTATACTAGCCTTGGTAACTAAATTCTACTCTGGAACAACCTTCAACCTGTTAAGATAAGAATCTATAACTACCTGTCCAACGATAACTTTTCTCAGAATATTTAGTTCCAAATTCCAAACTGGCGATACCATCGCAATTCTTTCGTTTTCTACGGATTTAAAAAATTCAGGGCCCGCTCTATCTTCTCATTTAATTCCTCCCAATTTTTAATTCTCGACGCAGAACTAGTAAAAATCGAACGTTCCATTAGGATCTTCAATTTTTTTTAACCAAGGATTTGAAACTTTCTGAATTTCGAACGCTCTTCCCAATTTTATTTCTGAATTTTTTTGGCAAAGCCATTGGAAATCGAGATTCAAAATTTTTTTATTCTTTTGAATGTCCCATTAAGATGTCTAATCTTTTTGGCAAAGCTATTAGAAATCGAGATTAAGATCTTTAATTTTTTTGGCAGAGAATTTGAAATTTTCCAAATTTCTCTACTGCCATTTTTATTCCTTAAATCCTTAACTTATGGAGTCACTCAAGAATCGAGCATTCGAAAATTTGAAATTTTCCAAGAGATGAGATTAAAATTGTAAATTTTTTTGAGAAACAGGTGAAATCCAAGACAGCGAAGGCAACGTTCTGGAGCAAGGGATGATGGGGAATACGGAACGCGGTGAGAAACCTTCCGGTGAGATCTCGGTGGTTCGCGTGTCGGACAGATTGGTGATGACTTCCGCGTCGCCACGACCCGATGAGTTACCGATCAAGGGACTGGTCGATCATCTTCCGGTCCCGACACCCTCGCGCGAGGCCTCGCTCACGCAGAAACTGGAAATGGCGCTTGGCTCCGTTTGCCCGCTTCTGCGCGAGATCATGGTCGATTTTGCCCCTTTCCTCTCGAAAACGCTCGTCGGCTCTCATGGGCAGGAATTGCTGATGGAAGGCAAAGGTAGGACTCGTAAGTGCAATCTGATCGACTGATATACTTATATATGTTTGTCGTGAGTATGTCCTTTTTCTTTTTTAACTTTTAATATTTGTAATATATATGTTTTATTTTTATTAACATTAATTAATTCAGAGTAGTGTCTTGAGATCCATTTCGTCTTTTTAAATATTTCCAATGTTTTAGACTTTTGAAAATCGTACAACATTTCTCGATTCGAAATTCGATAGATTTTTAAATTAATTGGAAAGAAATTTGTACAATGGAATTTTTGCTCGATTTCAAATAGATTCAAAGATACTACGAAGGATTAATATTGGTAGAATATTGCTTTATTAAAAATTTATTTGTATTAAGTTGTTGCTTTTGTCTTAAGTGTTATTAATGTTCATTATTACTTTCCACGAATTATTATTTATTAACCTCTTGATGCTGGACAATAAACCATATTAGATGTAATCAATTATCTAATTGTCCGTTTATAATTATATAATAAATTTCTTTCTATGTTAAATTTCTTTCTTATACTAACCAGTGTCAAGAGATTAATAAGATCCAGCAAAAATACAGGGTGTTGGAAAAAAGCAAGTTTCCATTCTATTTAACCAAAATTAATTTAACGAGAATTTTCTACGACGAAAATTACCCCATAATTTTTCAAAAAAAAGAAAATAATAATAATCCTTTCTAACGAATCCTTCGTTTCCGGAATAACAACACGTAACACTATCTAAAACAAACGTTCACGGACGTTAAATGAACTTTTATCAACCTGCTCGCGAGGCAGATTCCTAAGCCGCTTTTTATCAACACCCAACGCGTATACACCTCTCGTTTTATCCGTTGATCGCGGTGAATGTATTCAAATTAGTCGGTTTATGGTTTCGCTTAGAAAGATGGAACGCGTATACCGGGATAATCGTCGGGCATTTGTATTCACGCGACAGTACCGCGTTCCGTGGCACTTCGCGAGGAATTTTATATTCGTAAAACGTCGCGGATGACGGCCGTGCCATGTATCGATGCACTTTTATTTTATATTTTTTAAAAACAACGACTCGAAGCGATACATCCATCGTCGTTTATAAATCACCAAGCCGTCTATTCCTTTTCTATTCCATCTTTACAGTCTGTCGATGTCCCATGGTATTTTATTTTCCAAGGGAATTTCTAAATCTAAATCCGTTTCTTTCGTTCTAAATCACTCGTATTTAACCATAAGCTCTTGATTCGAGTTATGGTGTTTAGTTAAAAAGCGATCGAGTTTAATATTGGTTTTAGAAATTTTCAAATTTGTATCGAAAATTTAATTAATTAATTAATAAAATATATAATAATGTAAGAAAAATATATAATAATGTATTTTTTGCGATTGAAAATTATAAGAATCTGAACTGATGGGTCAATGGAAACGTAGAGTGTAAAAGAAATATCTTTCTAAACGTTAATATTAATCGATGTCATTTATACTTATTAAAAAGAAATAAATAAAACTACGAATATGAGCAATAAATTCTTAACGATTCTATTTTCCTCAGGTTTAACCACCTTCAAAAACAGCAATTCGGTGGTGGAATTGGTGATGTTACTATGTTCCCAAGAATGGCAGAACTCGTTGCAGAAACACGCGGGCCTTGCTTTCATCGAGCTCATTAACGAGGGAAGGTAAGAAGGGCTTGTTACGATGATCGTTAGAACGACAGACTTATAGTTGAAGTTAACAGTAAACGTCAACCCTTTACGCTGTCTTAAACGCAAAAATCTTAAAAAAATTTTTCGTTTACGCCACGCAGGTTACTGTCTCACGCGATGAAGGATCATATCGTAAGAGTGGCCAACGAGGCTGAATTTATCCTCAATCGTATGAGAGCGGACGATGTGCTCAAACATGCCGACTTCGAGGTATGCTTTTTCTTAATTATATATATATTTAATTTTTTAAATTAATTAAAACGTATTGGATTAATGTATTGGATGGATGTATGGAGCTTTGTCATAATGATCGTAAAAATTTGTTGGCTCAGTCGCAATGCGCTCAAACATTGCTCGACCGACGGGAGGAGGAAAGGATGTGCGATCATCTGATCACAGCCGCACGAAGACGGGATAACGTTATTGCTAGTAGATTATTGGAGAAGGTCCGTAATATTCTGTCTAACAAACATGGCGCTTGGGGATACATGGATCCAATGGCTGCAAAGTGAGTATTGTTCTTTCCTTTTTTGGAAAAAAATTGCATTCAAAAAAAAAAGAAAAGTCCTTTTATTATTAATTATATTCATACTGAAAGATATACTTGGAATAATGATAAATGGATGATAATAATGATAAATTACAAAACATTGTTAAGTTTATATTAATATCATTAAAATTGCCCAAGATTTACCATGCAAAAAGATTATAGATACTTAAAAAAAATTGTATATATTACATTGCATCGTTTCCAAACTTGCCAAAATCTAAAACAAAAAGTTAAAGAAGAATCGAATTTATAAATACTAATAAAAAAAACTAGATATTTGAAATAATAATAATAATGAATTACAATTCTTAATATTTCCATATTTTTCAAAATCTACATCGATAAAGTTTATAGATATTTATAAAAAAAAGATTGCATCGCGATTAGGTTGGCCGAATACTGGAAGCTAGATGCTTGGGAGGATGATGCACGTAGACGTAAGCGTTTCGTGCACAATCCACTAGGCTCGAGCCATCCCGAAGCTACACTGAAGGCGGCCCTCGAACACGGTGCACCCGAGGATGCGATCCTTCAAGCGCGTGAAGAGTTTCACGCGCATCTCGCAGCCTCGCGTGCACACCAGCAGCAATTGCAGTCGGCGGATCTGATGGACGACAGTGAGCTGTTGTCGGACGACAGAGACCTCGATAACGATCTGACAGGTTAGATCTCCTCCTCCATTTCGTTTCATTTCTCTCCGTCTCGTTTCGTTTCCTTCTCGGCTACCGCACGCGTGAAGCGGAACGTGTGACCGTTCCCTATCCTTTAAATTACGTAACACGTGTGTATACGTGTGTATACGTGTGTGCACACTCGGTACAACGAGATTGTATTCCGCCAGGCCCGGTGAACATCAGCACGAAAGGAAAATTGATCGCGCCCGGTATCGTGGCTCCCGGTATTATCTCTGTGACGTCCACGGAACTTTACTTCGAGGTGGACGAGGACGACCCAGAGTTCAAGAAGATCGACAGCGAGGTAAGTTTCTTTTCCTCCATTTTCAACGTTGAAATTGATTCTATCGCGTGGTCGCAGAGCGAGAAATTTAATTACAAATAATGAAGTTTTAATTATTTTTATGAAACACGTTTTATTAAATTATTTTAACACAAGGAGGAAATTAGTATGATTTAAATTAGTATAATTTTTTTGAAAAGGAGAATATGGAATTTTATTACTAGAGTGAGAATAGAATTTAAGTAGATTTTTTTTTTTTTTATTTCTGTGAAATATAATGCTTATTTTGGATATTTTATGTTTTTTTGTACGCATCATGCGCAACTTGATTAGATTTTTATACATCGAAATATTCACAGTCTAGTTATTAACTGTTATCAATTCAAAGGAAAGGAAAATACAAAATTGAAAGTTTACTTTCACTGAGTTATAGATAGTTAAGTTATAGATAGGCCAGGTACTGTAGAAATATACGGTGCTGCCACCACAGCGCCATTTAAAGAGGGCACATCATTAAATACGATTACTTTACCTCAAGACCAAAATCGATAGAAAATGTTGAAACAAAAGATATCGATCTCCTGTATTTTTCTCATTTTCTTCTTTTTGGATCACGAAATACAAACTAAAGTTCGAACAGTCGTTAAGTTTGTCACTTTTCGCGTTATATATTATACTTGTAGTCTTGCTACATTTATCACTTGTCACACGCAATCTTAATGATTAATCATTGTGTCAGTTTCTCCGCGTTAAGATACCGTCTATTACATGCATTTGGAGCAACTTGTTGCGTTTGCGAAGCTATCTCTTTGAAATATGGTTACCGGTCCCTCGTGCAGATAACACGCTCTGAAAACTAGGACCACGCACTGCTCGCCTAAACCGAATCTTTTTTCAATTTCAAACTTTGCAAGTATCATTGAAATATTATTGAAATCGAAAATCTTCCTAATTTTATTACAATTACATTCATCCAAAATCGTACTTCGAATCGAGATTTGTTCGAGAATATATTGGATGCTACAAATATCTTCAAAGACAATTTCAAATAATATCAATTACATCTTAGGATGAATCCATTAAAGACTATTACTAAAATTACTCTCAAAAATTATTTTCCATCGACGAAAGTCACCGTCAAATTACTACTTACTCAACGCTACTCAACGAAGCAAAATCGAAGATGTATTAAAAAATACATTTACAAACGATTCTACGATCAAATCAATTTCACGTAAATAAACAAACTCCACCTTGTTTTCGATGCCTTTCCGACCACTGGCAGCGTGGCCGACCGCGACAAAGTATATTAATCACAACCCGGTGGCGTGGAATTTGAATAAATGCGAATTGTAAATGAAGAGACGTGGCGAAAGCTTCCACCATGCCGTTGGTTCGAATTGGTTCGGACGTGTCCCTGTCTATCAGGCCGCATAATGTAGTCACGTTCCGCGACGGTGGTCAACTCGAGTGCAAAAATCGGGAGGGAGGAGGAAGAAAGGGAGGGAGAAGAGATGGGAGAGGGGGAGAAGCGAGTGGAACGGAGCGAGTTGGAGGGAGAGGAGGGAAAGAGATAAGGAGAGTCGGGCACAGGAGAGAACTAGAGGCCGATTATCATATATCGGTCGTAGATCTCGCGTTTGTATAACTAGGGAATAAAACAAACAGAGGTGGGCCCCATGGGGTCGGCCGATCTTCAGGGTCGGCAATTATGAGCCTCCCGCGGGGCCTGGTATCTACCTTGCCTGCTCTCCACCATCTCCGTCCCAACTGTCTCTCCTCCTCTCTCTCTCGGCCTCTTCGCTCAAGCTGCATCCACGTACCAAGCACGCATAGGTGAACGCATACGGATCCCCAGGAATGCACGCCAACTACCACCCGGTTTCCCGCCTATCTAGTAACTATTGCACGTCTGCCGCAGACATCCTGTTTATGCGATCCTCCTCGCGATCCGATTCGAACCGATGCGATCGAGGAATCTATCCAACCGATCGAGTTCCGCGTTTATTTGTTAGAAACGAATTTTACCAATATATTCGAATGGCGAAAAAATCGGAGGAATGATAATTTGCTTCGTGGATGAATCATAATAATATCAATATTCATTCGTAGTCTTTTTAGAACTGAAAGTATGGAAAATTTAATGATATATAGATGTCTTCTTCCATGGAAGAGATACCTCCGATTTTGTCTCCGTCTCCACCTGTCTCCGATATATCTCGGCCAGAGAACGAGCGTATCCACCTCAACCATGAATAGAAACCCAATCTTTCGGCCTCTTAATTGGAATCCTGTTTAAACGAGAGACACCGTGAGCTCATATCTGTGTATAACCAAACCAACGACACCGCAAACGTTAAAATCGAAACAAGAAGAGAAACAAAAGAAAAAGAAAAAATAAGAAATTTTCTACAAAAATTAAAACCTCCGTCCTCTAATCCATAATCTGATCGATAATCGAAAACTTCATTTTATAAATCACGTTCGTAAAAAAAAAAAAAAATACTTATCTCGGATAAATAACAGATTCGACGTATCCGTTAAAATGATTTCAAGTTATCGGGTCACAAGTGAGTAAAAATCGAAAATTGAAAAGAGGCGGCCGAAGGGAAGAGAGATAGCGCAGAGAAAGAGAGGGAGTGAGAGAGAGAGAGAGAGAGAATTGGCGATCGAGACACGCTCATTAGTCGAGGATGTCCCGAGGGTAGGCGGGAGGCTTCGTCGAATTCGTAGGCGATGGATCACTCGATAGTCGAGTCGAGACTTAAGCGATCGTAATGCGCGGCCGTATGGGATAGGCTGGATCGGGAGTGGCCGGGGGGGGGAGGGGGGCTTTATATCGGTGAACTCTCGGTGGTTCGAGCAAAGGCTCGCCTCGGTTTCTACCTCACCTTGTTCGCCGATCGTGCCGATTCCCCCCTCCCACCGCCGCCGAGCTTTTATAATGGTCCCGGCCAAACGTATTTATCGTGATTTATTGTTTACACGGGTCTCCTTTCTCCTCGGTTACCTCCATCCTCTTCCGTCCCGCGTGCATCGCCTCTCTTTCAACGGGTCCCGCGCTAGAGATAGAGGATGCACACCGTGCGATTACGTCCGATGTAAATTATTGATCGTCCACGGGGGAACATTAATATCTAAAACAAATAATGGACCGTTACACCCTGAACCCTTTTGAGCACTGCGCGCCATCTCTCTCTCTCTCTCTCTCTCTCTCTTTACGTTTTCTTTGAGCACAACTACTACCATTGCGTCCGAGTGCATCAGTCTTGCTCGTTGTTTTGTTCTTTCAATGATTTTTATCGATCTTGTATTTCTCTTGTATTTCTTTTTCTTCTGATTCGAAATTGATTTGCAGTTGGGGAGTTCGGTTCGAGCAATTAGACCGGGGTAATTAAAGCCCTTACGGTACGGAGAGAAGGGAAAGAAATTTCTGCTCGATCTTTTCGTTAGGTGTGCAACAGGATTTTATCTATTCAATCACAATTCAGGGAGGGTCGATGAAGGACACCAATGCGGTATTGTGCGCGCTTAAAATTCTACTTTTGCACGGTTATTACGTCTCTTTACCGTGTTTGTACAACGATGTGCGGCTCGCGTGCTCCGTGGAAAAAGGCAGCTCGGTAATTGCCATACTTTCAGGCACGCACTCTCGTTATACCTTCGCGAGATCTCTTCTGGCCCGGTCTTTTTGCTCCAACTCCGTGAACCTTTGCAGATATAACAATTTGAAAGATATAGAAATCATACCTCATATTGTTTTAAATCATTCTCTTAGAAAGATTGTATGTATTTCTTTTCACGTACGTAACACATATATAAGAAATATTATTAAGATTCTACGGATCAAAGAAAAACAAAACTCTTAATGTCCAAGTTTTTTATTTATTAAATTACTTCGCATTACTATATCTAACGCTTCGTCTCAACCGACGAAGACATTTCAGCCCCCCCAGAATCTTCCAAAGATATCTCATCGAGCGCATTAAAACCAAGATTCACAAAATTAACTAATACTATCGCGAAACTTTTTCTGTTATTATTTTACCATGAAGGCATTCAAAGCTCGAAAACGATCATTGCAGTCGCACGCTGCGAGTATCCTCCCGTGGGGATAGTTGCACGGGGCACGAAACAGTAGGGGAAAGGGAGGAGACAGACCCAGCTGACAGGTGCACTCTTGTTCCTCTGCACTCATTGGCAAGTGAGATGCCATTAACGGGAGTACAATATCGGGAAAAATTCTCGTGGAGGAAACGATCCATCGGATCGTTTATCAGTGTACCCGAGACGAGTTGCGGCTGTGGTCATATATCATGTACCGGGGAATGATTTCTCGATTTATGGATAGGGAATACAACGTGGATAGGAAAAATCGTTTCTTGATGGCGGCGGCGGAGAACGCGGTTTGACGAGGATTGAGGAATTCTTGAGGAGTTAATGGTTTTATAGGTGTCCGTGTCCAGGATCGAAGATATTAATTGTTCGACTAATTTATGGATATACGGGAAATGCTGAGCCGAGTTCGAATTATCGAGAGGCATGCATCCGACGTTTATTGTCGGCAAGCGAGGATCGAAGAGGTTTCGCATCCATGGTGGTTTTTCATCCGTTGAAATTGATCGTTGCTCGAAACTATGAAACTGTGAGATTTACGTGACGTATGGATGGGTTATTGTCTTGTTTGAAGTTCCGTACAGAGATACGTACGAATACGAGATACTCGTGCGTGTCATTTGAATTATAAAAAAAAGAAATGCTAAATGAATGCGAAGATCGCTGTAAGCTATGAATCTATCGATTTTTATTCGCGAAAATGTTAAATATTCTTCATCACCTTAGCGTAGAATATACGAATGTTTACATACTCCACGCAAGAATTCTGGAATTCGCCAGTTTCGCAAGTTTGCTTTACCCTTTTTTCTTTTTTCTTTTTTTTTTTCTTTGTGTAAAAGAAAATTGATTGTTAATTAAACGTGCAGGTTAGTGCGTCTATGGAAAATACGACAGTTTACGGCCGT